TTAAAATACAGTATTTTATCGTTTATATTTATTATTGTACGATATACTGTACAGTACAATACTATATTTAGTTTATATTTAATGTTTTATTAATTCTATTACGGTATACAGTACTTTGTATGTGCAGTAGTACCCGATTCTGTGATCCAATTAAGACCCGGTACACATGAGAAAGTATTAAAACCGCGTAAAGTGAACAACAGAACATATGGGATTAATTCCAATAGAGACTGGCCCGACCCCCAAATTCCACTTTTTCCGACACAATACCTATGTTGTAGTAAAAATAACATCTAAATTTTATGATGGTATGCTCACACAATTAATATTTAAGAGAAATACAGTCGCCAGGTTAATGTCCATTCAAATAATGGACTCAAATCCCCCCCCCTCTTCCCAGCTCACTAGCTCCTACCTCTCTGAGAAATGTTTGGGTGAAAACACTAGATTTTAACGTTTAGTAATAAATAATACCTCAGACTAAAGTTAGGATAATATAATTGACATTTCTGGATTCCTTGCAGGCCAGGGAATATTTTGAATGTAAACTTCATATATTTTGCACAAACGATAAAATATTTGCTTTGTGTAAACCAAATTATTACATTAGATCTAAAATTTGTATGTCTAATGCAAAATCCATGATGTTTATATCCAAAATGATCATCATATTGTAAGAATTCCAGCAATGTTAATTATATTCTGGCCGGGTAATTTGTATGAATTTTATGAGCTAAATAAAAAAACAAAAAAATTATACTTCACCGCGTATATGAGTACTGTAGATGCACCGTGAAAGTGAAAGTCCGGTTCTGGCAAGGTACCGCGTAAATGAGAAAGCAAATGAGAAATTGCGGAAAGTGAAACCGTGTAAAGTGGGGTAATACTGCATACTTTTTCTGTGATTTGGAACCAATTACCCAATATCCCATTGAAATAATAGATTCGGTTAACAAAATTTTTGGTTAACGAACGACTGTGTGGAACCAATTGTGTTCGTTAAGCAAGGGACCACTGTATAGTGGAAAATAGTCATGAAATAGTAATGATGATGCTAGGCATGTATTTTTTTTCAGGTGTGGTAAGCAGAGAGATTCGATTTTGTCAGAAGATGGACATACCAATTTTAGGAATAATAGAGAACATGTCAGGATTCTGCTGCCCATGTTGCTCAGTAAGTAGTACAATATAAGAATACAGTAAGATTTTACATTGATGAATCTTAATAAACAGGACAAAACTGACTGAATCAATGCAAGTAATAAATAGAGTATGGTATATATTATATGTATTTATTTAGAAACAACACAGAATTAGAAATAACTGGAATGGATTCAGAGTTTAGTAGCATAGGGTCTGGGGCCAAACACAGATATGTTGTGAGTTCCAGGATGATCTTGGAATAAAAAACAATGATGCTTCAGGGTGACAAAAATCTTTTGCTTAGCATTAGGTTAATGTGTTTGAAAGTGTTTAATATGTTTTATGTGCTGTAAAGACAGTCTTTGTTAGTCTAATTAAGCAGCTTGCACGTACGCATGATTGTAAACTCAATGCCCCCCCCTTTTTTTACAGGCATTAGCCCACCCAGGCACAGGTCATTTTTAATAACCCACATCAAGGCCTGGGGGACAAAAATATAATAAAACAATAATAATTATTATGATGATGATGATGATGATGATGATGATGATGATGATAATAATAATAATAATAATAATAATAATAATAATAATAATAATAATAATAATAACAAAATTAATAAAAATATATAAAAATAAATAACAATCAAAATAAAAGAAAATAATAATACCCTGTAATAATAAAAAAAATTAAATAATAATAATAATAATAATAATAATAATAATAATAATAATAATAATAATAATAATAATGAGCCATAAATAAATAAATACAAAAATAATTAATAATAACAAGAGTGATAAATGATGTATGTATGTTGTGTTGTCAAAGTAAGAGAAACAATCGAGACCCTCCAATTGTGTGTAAATGAGGCAGAAAGTCAGATCAGCAACCTGGGACTTGGTCACAATTTTTGTGATGCCATATGGCATCTATTCATCAATCAAGTTACAGCCAATTTGCGTTGACAAAACACGCGTTATAGCAGAACTCACTGTATTTCAAATTGTACAGTAATTCTTTTGACCAAAAATATTTTATCTTGAACTGTATTGAGATGAAGTAAGTGAAATAATTATTTGGAGAGCTTCAGTGTCACTAAAATAGATATGGAGGATGTATTTCACTAAATCTAAAGTTACAGTGCAACATGGTAACATTCATGATGATAATTTTCTGTATCTTCAAAACTGCATCTCATAATTTCAGGAAGTGAGCCAAATTTTTTCATCAGGAGCTGGGGAATACCTGTCTGAGAAGTATGATGTCCCTTTCCTGGGTGTTGTGCCATTGGACCCTCAAATAACAACTGTCCAGGAGAGTGGATTTAATATTGAAGATGTATGTCCAAACTCCCCAGTTGTTGTTAAGATGCGGAAACTGGTTTTAAAAATTATAGAGGATTTACAGAAATAATTGATGTAGCTGGACCAATGTAAATTTTAATACTAAGCAGATGGGTGTATTTTCTTATTAGACCATAAATTAATTAACACTTGTGTATTGGAAAATATCTTTGTAGAGGTACTGTACAGTAATATTATTAAGTATTTAAAAACTAACACAAATGCACTAAACCCCTGTAAAATTTATTTAACACTGCTTGAGTATGTAGTCTTTTGGGGGTAAAAAAAAATTGCTTGGAGCTCTGAGTAGCCTTTTGTGCAGTTTATATTATAAGTGACTTCTGAAGATAATTTCATATAAATAAAAATATCTTGGTATATTGCATCATGCACCATACACTGTGACCAAGGTTTGAGGTTTGCACGTATGTGACTGCATCACTGTTGATTCCCTCCCTCCTTACGTCTTTTCTTCCACCCTAGCACATATCACTAAAGGAGTATAAAGATAATATCTTTTGTCTAATTAATAGCTTCAGTGATTAAAATAAAGAACGCCACTTCTGGAGGTGTACTGTACATACTGAAGATCTATTTTGCATAAAATTAAAATACTGTACTATACAGGAGAGAGCTCGGTAACCTGACTGCCCTTGACGACAATAATGTACATACTGTAATATCTTCTCCACCACATTTGCATTAAGCAAAACTAATACAGGTAAACCTTGATTTACAATGGGATTACATTCCTGAAAACCTCATCGCAAATTGAAATATTGTAAATCGAGTTCAAAGAGATATATTCCCAGCCAGTCCAACACACACATGTATCACTGATAACAAAATTCTTACATTAATAAAATATATAGAAAACAATTAAACAGCACTCACCACATCATTAATAAGGCTGGCTGCATCACAGTGTCAAGCTTCACCTTCAGAGACACTGTTATCCTGGGTGCCTTGCCCTTCCAAGATGCAGGAGTCTTCAGCAACAGCATGCTAGACATTTTCAGTTACACTGCTCACTTTACAGTCGCAAACACAGAGCATAGTCACTTGTCACAAAAGAGCAAAATCACTTCACAATCACAGTAAATGTAAAGAGTATATAAAAATTTAAAATAATGCATTGCCGTTTGGCAATCATTTTACAGGAGATGAGACAGAACAGCTGACAGATTCCCATGCCCCCCCCCTCCACTCTGAGGGCTAATTCCAGTGCACCTCCGTCTCAAAATTCTTCTAACCAAACCTCATCTAATCTAACCTGATGTAACCATATCTAATTACCCTAACCTAATCAAACCTAACAAACTAATCTGACCAAACCTAAACTAATCTGACAAAACCTATTCTAACCTAACCTAATCTAACCTATAGCAAAATTTAGCTTTCTAGTTATTTTTTAAAAAACTACAGTGCATTATGGCCGTTTTTCTGTCCTTGAGCCTAACTTATACATTTATAATGGAAAATAGTGCTGTATATAAAACATAGAAGTGTGGCTTTGTGGATGTTATCAATAACACAAAAAAGTTTGCATCTGCTCATCCCTGGCAAAAATGGACAAAAATTTCCAGTTCATTCATAATTATTCCCCTGAGAAGGAAACTCCATTGGTGAATTGTTAATCTAAGGTCATTTAAGAAGTAAGGTAGACAAAGCTAACACTGATGATGAAGCTGCTGCTAACTTATAAAAAATAAAATCAGAGATACTCCCTGATAAGTTAAGGGTATGCCTCATATGGCAGTAAATGTGGTATCCATAAAGCCATACCACTGAGCTAATGTAAAGAACACAAGAGTGTTCCCTCCAGCACACTTTGATTGAAAAATATTCATGTAACAAATCGCTGATTTACATGTTTCTAGTAAATGCGACTTAAATAGGACCAAGGTAAATCAGACCTACTGTTATTATTGGAGATGCTTTCCTGGGCTAAATTTGGGGACACTGTAAGCTAACCTAAACTTTACTGACTGGGTAACTTAATACTGTATTTAAAAAAAATGAAAAAGTCAACACACACGACAAATGAAAAGCATAGACAATTAAATGAACAAAAATATTGTAGATGGATACCCGCCAAAATAAAACTGAGATGAAGTAAATCATGCGAGGTGTAATTACAGGAGTACAGTATGTATAGTAAAGCCCAGAGTAACAACAATCTAACTTGTGACAATTTGCATA